TGTTCATAACAGTAGGCTTACTGCTACTAGTTATTTGTAATGCAAACCTGTTATGTGATTTGTCATCACTAGTTGGGTATGTTCAGCAGTCTAAAGATATATTAAACATTGTCTAAAAGTGTATATATAGTATGTTTAATTTTGATTTATGCTTGGAATCCTATTTTGCCTCTAAAATGACAGGATTTCCTGTCATCATCAGTCATTAAAAACTAACTTTTCTGTTCACATTAGTGGTGGCAGCCATTTTCTCTTTCATGTTGTCTTTTTCAGAAAATAGACTGGGCCCCCTACAATGTAGTAGCTGCCAATTACAGAGTTCCTGCTTGCAAAATCAATTTAGAAAGAAAATTGTAATAAACATGATTGTATCTACTTCTAGGACTATAAAACCTACCTGGACTTTGTGCTTGCATTAGAAAACAGAAAGGAGCCTGCAGCTCTGCAATATATTTTCAAACTGCTTGATATAGAGAACAAAGGACACCTGAATGTCTTTTCCCTTAATTATTTCTTTAGGGTAAGTCTCTTTATACTAGTAGGCCATTTTCTGTGTTTATAGTGTTATAGCCTATATGCTTCTGCATGCAGATCTGCAGGAAATCACTTTAAATTACCAATAGCTACAGGGAGGCTAGTAATGACTTCTAAGAAGATTTGAAATTAGAAAAAAAAAATCCAAAAATTGGAAAGATTTCAAAAGGTATTTTCAGCAGTTTATCTGCAGTTGAAAGTAGCTGATTTTGGTTAGGACAAGTATTTTCTATTGACTTGGGTTTGGTTTTTAATACAAATTGTCCTAAAATTGCCTAATAATTACCTATTACAATCTCTTAAGATGTTTCTAATTGATTATTGCCATTGGTTTTAATTTCCACTGTAATCCTAAAATTCAGTAGAAGAAATGAAAATAATGAAACGCAGTGATGGGCCAGTACAGCTGTGGGATTTTTCATTCACTGTATTGCTTGCAAAAAGCTTCTTGCAGTTTTCATAGTCTGCATTTTACCTGTTGTTTCCAGAATAGGTTTTAAATAGATTTTACAGGAAAGTTTTGTTTAACAAACAAACACCACCCACCCCAGCCCCCCCCCCAAAAAAAAAAAACAAAACCAAAAAACTAAGAAACCAAACAAACAAGAAAAGAAAAAAAAACAAATCCAACTTTTTTTCTTTTAGTGCCTTGGAACCACCAAATAAATTAGGTGGAATGGACCTGCTCCAACTGTCTGCTCAGAGCGGGCCCAGCTTCATTGCTATGTTGAGTTGCTTGGAGCCTTGTCTGGGCAAATTTTTAATCTCTCCAGAGAGGGAGACTCCAGAGCCTGTTTGGGTAGTCAGTGCATTCTGTTTTTTGAGTACCCTGGCTGAGAAGACTTTTTTCCCCTTACTCTTTCCCCTGCTTTTGTCTTAATTGGACTGCCTCTTGCTGCAGTCAGTGTGCACTGCTTGTCGCCCTTTCACTGTGTGTCTCCAAGACAGTCTTGCTGCATTGTCTTTAACCACTTGCTAGGTAGTTGCAGATAGTAATTAGATTTTCCTCACCTGTTCTTCAGGGGAATTAATCCCCATCCCAAACCTCTCCTCTCAGCTGTGCTGTGCTGTAGCCCCAGAAGCATGCTGATAGCCCTCTACTAGGTTCCCACTGGGTTGTCAGTGTCTCACAAAGGGGACCCAGAACTGTGAGGCTGAATCTGGAGTACTGTGCCCAAATGTTGAGTCAGGAGGAACAACCATTTCTCTGAACCTGCTAGGTGTGCTTGTACTTGTGCAGCCCAGTATTTATCTGCCTTCGTCACTACAAAGTCACCCTGCAGATTCCTATTCAACTTGCTGTGGACTGAGACCTCCAGCACCTTTCCTTCCAAGCTGCTCCAGCCTGCTGGCCCAAGGAGCATTCTGCTGCATGGAGTCATTCTGCCGCAGGACCAGGCAGGAGTTTTGCGTGTGCCTTTTGAACTTCATCATGAACTTTGTTTAGTAGTTGTAGCTGCCGTATATGCTTCACAGGCAGCTGTCAGACGAGGGCTTGGCAACACTAAGCATCCTAGTGAAACTAAGCAATGACTCATCTTCCCTCCCTGCTTTTACAGCTCACTGTTTTCCCAGCGCTTTATCCAGTTCTGTTCACGTGGATTTAGGATTCAGGAGGCCAGGGGGCATATCAATTGTCTCTGATTTTAGTAAAGGCTGTTAATTTACAAGTTTACATTTTACGAAAACATGAACTTTAGTGTTGTCATAGAACATAAGTGATTCTAATATGAAAGTGATTTAACAAGGTAACTTTGCATTAGTTATGGTGGCATAGCTGGTTTTGTTCATGTGTCCAGTTACATACATACTCTGTGGCTTACTTATTGAAAAAGCTCCTTCACTACAGCAGATACTTGACTGTACTCCAGAATGTGTCCCTCCTTTCAAGTTTTGGACATGGAATTTTGTAAGTTTTCCTTGAAATCAGAACAGTTCCTTTTGACTCTGAATAGTTGCTTTCCGGCTAGTGTTATGTGTGAACAGGCCTGCACCTACAAGGGCTGTGCTGATACAGCTGTGCTGACAACGCTGTGCCCCTCGTGCTAGTGACATACTTTTGTTTATAGTTGTTCCTTGAAGACACAGGTTTGGTGATGCAGGTGTTTAAATAGTACCATATTAAAAGAATTAATTTGTCTTCCTGCTGATTGGTCTTTTCCCTTCTCTCTTTTCCTACCCTGTATTTCATACTGTGTCAGAAAATGTAACCTTCTGATTAGGGTGTATTAGTACCTTAAGCTTTGAGTGTTGAGGGATAATATCCCATTTGCAGAGTGCTTAAACGCTGGTCATAATGGAAGTGGGATTCTTATTATACTAAGAAATGTGAACCTGAGATGTGTGTCATTGATAATGCCTTAACTCACCCCTACCTTATCTATGGAAGAAAACTGATTGCAAGCTGCACCATGAATGCTTTGTTACAGGGCAATAGAGCTTAGGATGCAGAAGTGTTAAAGATTTTCATACAGTGTCACCAAATACTCCACTAGCCATTCATAACTTCTTTTTTTCTAGGCTATTCAGGAACAAATGAAAATTCACGGACAAGAGCCAGTTTCTTTTCAGGATGTCAAGGTTAGTACTTGACTTTACTGAATAAAGTACTACATGAAATCTTTGAATAAGCATTTTGTAATTTAATTACATCGTAGTTTCTAGGTTTTGTATAACTACTTGCAGAGGAGTAGAGATGAACTGGATTGCCCTACTCCTAGGTTTGAAAATGTCTTTCTATTCAGCTGTTGCTCTGTAAGATAGCTGGTATGTTCTAGCACTTTCCTTGGTAATAGACAAAGTACTTGTTAAATACATGTTGCTTTTTCTTACACCTGAAGGTACTTGTAAGTCCATTTTACAGTTCAGGATCATCCCTTGGGAGTGGGGGTCCAGACTGGTGACTTAAAAAAACAACCTATAAAACTGTCTTTATTACTGTCTAACTTATATTTAGCAGTTTTAGTACTTAAAATAAAAAGTACAAGAGCTTCTACAAAACTTAGCTTATACAAGTGAATGGAGTTTCAAATTGCCACTTTGAGGCCAAAGCCTCCCCAGTAAGGAAAATTCTTATCTGAGAGGTGGGAGCTGAGCACACTGCTGCTAACTGTAGCCAGTTAGTGTGCTTTGTATCATAAGTGCTTTGGGACTTACTGGCTCCTTTTTTGTAAATTGGTGTGGGTGGGTGGCACTAGTTACCCAAAGATCATATGGTATGAAATAGCCATTATTCTGCTCATTAATGTGTGTGTGGGGGGGTGTCTCCCAATTTTGTCTTTTCTTTCATAGGATGAAATCTTTGATATGGTGAAGCCTAAGGACCCTTACAAAATCTCCCTTCAAGACTTGATCAATAGCAGTCAAGGAGACACTGTTACCAGCATTCTAATTGACCTGAATGGGTTCTGGACATATGAGAACAGAGAGGTCCTTGTGGCAAGTGATAATGACAACACTGCTGATGTTGATGATGCATGACTTCGAACTGGAGCAGACTGTATCCATAGAGATATCTCAATCTAATGCACCAACTGTTGGGAGCTGGAAACATTCATTATCTGAATCAATTCCTCTTCCATTTCACTTCCCTCCCGTTGCCCCCACATAGGATGGAAAATGTGGTATGTACAGGAATCACAGAAATAATTTCCGAAATGAAAAAAGCAACTGTTGTTTTAAGAGGCAAAAATTATCTTCTTTTTTTAATAAATAGTTTTTGACCTTTCTTTCACGTGTACTAAGCCCTATTCTTATTTAAATATGCTATTCCAAGTGTGAATATACCCTGAAAGTAAGGATGTGGTTCTTGGTGTCTTCAGCCATTCCAAGCCTCCCCCTGCATTCTGTATGGCATCCTCTAATGACAGCAGTGTTGAGTACTCTGTTGTGAAAGCAGTCTTCAGTAGGAGAGGAAGAATTTAGGCCTTTTTCTTCTATACATGTCCAGCTTCAAGTGTTTAAACAGAAAGGATAAATAAATCACTGAACTGACTGTTACCTGACTTTTAAGAGGTTTATTAACAGAAATAAAACTGCAGTAGCTTTAGGCCTAGTTAAAACTAATCCAAACACCTGTATCGAGGCTTTCACCAACTTAACCTCCTGTGCAAGTATTTTATGTATTCTAACTTAATTGTACAGCTGAGCTGCAGCAGTAGTTACAGCTGTGAAACTCTTTGAGAGCTGTAGAAATGTTTCAACTTTCAGGTAGGATTACAGCAGCTCCAGGCCAGAAGTGTTTGCAGTCCTGCATTATTTATTAGTTTGAGGTAGTGCTGAACAGGTAGAGTACTACATGGGATTCCCAGGAAAGGGGTGGGGATAGAATGATACTTTGAATTCCGGTGCCTGAATATTCAACCAAGATGTGTGACTTAGTAAAGATGTAAACAGTGAACAGGCACCTCTGTACAGGCATAAAGTTTCAAAGACCACACAGTTGTAAAAGAAAAGCCATAAGCAACTTCCAGTTCAAAAATTATATTAAATATAAAATAACCAATTAATGCATTTACAGAAAAATTAAGCCAATATGAAAGTAACAACTTTCATACAGTTTGCAAAAAACTGAAGGAAGGATTAAGTTAAGGCACAGTGAGTAATAAGAGTATTTTATACAAAGAAGTTTAAACCCAAGGCAGTGAGAGCATTTCTGATGCAACAAATAGTAGGGAGAGAAGGTAAAAAAACCAACTGACATTAATTTTTTTGAAGAAAAGCAAACCATCCTTCAACTGTCAAGGTATTACTCAAGCAACATGAGGCTTTCTGTCTTTGACAGTATAAGAACTCCCAACAAGCTGGTTTTCTGTGTATTCCTCTGGTGTTGAACCAAGCTCTCCCTTGCAGGCATTCAGGGCTAAGGAATGATTTTACACTGTGGTCAGCACCCTCTGTCTTACAATTCAAAAAGAGGCAAAGAATAGAGCTGATGATTGAATCCTCTTCCTCAGATTTTCTGCAGTGATGGAGTGCTACAGATAGATGAGAGGAAGAGTTTGTGCTGTCCAGGACACTGGTTCAGGCTGAGGGCTGTCTGAAATACATAACTCTGGAAACTAATAGCCAAGTTACCTGGCCTGGGGTGTTACATCAGGCTCCTTAGTTAATTGGCAGTGAAAGCAAGGCCAGGGATGGGTGATGATACCCAATACAACATTTCACTGAAGACTTTTTAAAATTTTTTTTAGGAATCTCAAGGACAGAAGTACTGTATTACATGGTACCTATACCTAGTGCAGGTTCTCTGCTCCTTTACCCACAACAGTTCTCCGTAGAAAATGCCTGGGGCACTGACATCTGGTTGTTGCAAAGTCAACTATTCACCTTTTACCAGCTACAGGTACAACAGTCATTTCAGTAAAATTGCCTTAATCGGTATTTGCTTTGGAGGTGACTGCACTTCACTTGGACAAAAATAAAAATTACTGTTGCTGCATGTGCTGTATCAGAATACATTGTGTTTAAGAAAAGGAAAGAGTCACAAGTTTGTTTTGTGGTTTCTAGTTATTTAGTATTCTGTGCTAGAGGGGAGAAAAATACCTGCAATGGCATATCCCTTACTGGTAATTAACATTAAACACATGGTTTGTTTAGGTCACTCAAGTACATGGACTTGGGTAATCTATGTCCAAAAATGTTTTCATAGTTGTACATTGGTACCAGAGTGTCCAGTGCACTCAATATAATTTAGCAAGACTTTAGTTTCTTTCCCAGGACCACTGAGAGCATGCATTCAAGCACGTGGGTCTCTTCATTCTTGGACTTATAGTGGGAATGTCTTACACTTAAGCTAGTTCTATACTTTGCTACAGCACTGAATGGAGTAGCTGAGCACTATCAGCCTCCAAGAGTGCTGGTACTTGTTACTAAGTTCTTAAGGGTGTTTTTAGCCCCCTGGAAAGTGTTTTGTTGTTTTTTTTTTAAATAAAAGTCAACGGACCCTTAAATCTAATTAACATTAAATCTAACATTTTCTCTTGTGTTAACAACAGAAAAAAAATACATGCATACAGTAGCGACAATAAATAGGGGAAATCAGACTCTTACTATTGCGAGTTACAGGATATTAATTCCTATTAATCTATTCATAGAGAGCTGAGTTGCAAACAGTGTGCAAATCAGAAACAGGTGTTTAGAAGTAGGAAACAGCACTGCCTCTGCAATCCACAGGTGTTAAGAGACACAGCAATTCAAAGAAAAGACATTTTTACTTGCTTTACACAGAAATTAGCTCACACATTCAATTTTAGACCAAACGTTTGTAGTGCAATTTTCATTTTAACCAAAGTGCCAGTTTGGCAGAATGCCTCAGCCTTTATTAGGCAGACAGACTGAACTGACATCGCCTAGCTCTCTCCTGATCAATAAGAATGGTAGGAGTTGTGTTTCACTGAACGAGTATAATCCTATTTTTCCTGTTTATAGCCAGATTGTGACACCTGACAGTACTTATTTCCTACATTATACAGAGCTTTACACTTAAGGAGGGACAGGAACTGCTTCTTGTTTATTTTTCCCAGTGGACGGGCAATCTCCCTCGTTTTCAAAGTTTACGTTCACGAATGAAGAGGATGCTGTTGCTTCAGGCTGGTCTGTCTGAACAGGAGCTTCGGCTTGTGGCTTGTTCTGCTGTTCCTGATGCTGTCTTTCTGCTTCTTCTGCCATCTTGTTTTCCTGTTCCTCCTCTTCCTCCTGAAAAGAGATAACCATATGCTACTACTTACTATTCACCACTTATTTACATTCACTTGGAAGTCTTTCCATAAGAGCATAGCAGTTCCTATTACAAGGCAAGGACATTTGTTCTGCTAGAAAACAGTCATTAGCTGATCATATGGTGAGGTATATTCCAGAACTTCCATCATGGAAAAAAAAATCCCAAAAGTGAAGGATTAAACCATGTTAAGCAGACAAAAAACAAAACCAATTTAAACAAACAAAGAAAATATGTATCTAGATAAGCAGTTTTTAGTTAATGGCAATAGGGATAGGTCTACCTTCTCCAAAGTTTTTTCAGCTCTCAATAACAGCTATAAAAAATAAGTAATAAAGCTTTAAATATGTTTTCCATCTCTTCCAAATGAAGATTACTAAGGGTTTGAGATTTTTTGCCTTAAGCACTGGCTACCTCTCCAGTCATGCCCAGTCACAGTGGTAGCATCATGTTCAATTTACCTTTGACACTGTGTTGAACAAGTTTTAGAGTTGGAAAGTATATTGCTAGCAGCCACCTCCTTACAGTGTTCAACAAAACTGTCCATGCAACTTTCTCACACTGTTGACTTGAAAATGCACTGTACAAGAGAAACAAACAGAGCAGTGGTCAGGACTCAGCCATCTAAGACTGATAAGCTGGAGAGAAAAGGCAGATGGATAAGTAAGCACTAACCATGCATCAAATGAAAACTGAAGGCAAGCTGAAATTGGGGGTCTAAAACTTCATTCAAATGCTAGAATACAAATATTATTTTTTAAAATTCCAGGGAAGGCAAGTTGGGAGAAAAGGAGTGCAAGAACCCCATCTCACACACATACCTCTCTCTTCATTCTGTAATACTCATCAATTGCATATTGGTATTTTGGTGTGCTTATTCCCAGAACAGATGCAATCTTTTCCCCAAGGAAATCACATACTAAAAAGTAAAAAGAGGTTTACATATGATTAGTATCTAGAAGAAACTTCTTATGCATGGTTTTCTTTTTAAAAGTCTCACTATCTTTCCTGAATGGTTTTCCATAGTCCTACTTCACTGGAAAGATAAAACCAAAATCTGCAAGGCTAATCTACTTACAGGTAATTATTAACTGAATATACTAATAATTGTTCTTTAAGAGAGAGAATGAATAAAAGGAGAAGAACATAAATTTCAGTGAAAATCTAGATAGTGGTAGTGTTTGTGTTCTGCTAGTTTCAGCTTTGAATCTAAGTTTATTTTGCTAAGAAACAGTTAAAGGATTAGCCTTTAACTGAACTTTAACTGAAAATTAAGGTTAGACAATACATGGGTATCAGCTGTATTAGTTCAGTCAAATGGTACAAGAAACCAGACAGTTATTTACTGGCATGTGCATATGTCAAGTCAGTTTTAACAATGTTCTGTGTTGCATACTAATGGACTAATAAAATATTTAGGTTTCAGCTGTCTCAATTTTCAAGCTGTAGGCTACATGCAGCACTACTGTGCTAAAGCAGGTAGTGCACAGGAACAGGAAGGGCTTGTGTCAGTCTCTTTACCATGGTGATGGCTACACCACTGGTTCTTGAGTAAAGGCAAGCAAGAAGCCAAATGTACTGCACTTCCAATTGTAAATCTGCCACAAGGATGCAAATGAGTTAGTCATCTTCAGGGGGTGACTAAAAAGTCAGAAGTTAGCAATTGACTGCTTCAATGAATATTCATAATAACTAATTTTATAGATATCCTGGAACCTGCATTTTTGTGCAAAAGACTAGTGCAAATTACAAATGTGAGAGCCAAAACTGAAGTGGGAAGAAGAAAGTACTAATCTTCAAATTCATACAAGACTTCTGAAAAAAGGAAAGCAGTATCTACTTTTGTGTATGAAGAACAGATGCATCAAGGAATAGAATTACACTGTACATTAAAGTGTTTCTCAAAATAAGGATAGGTTAATTCATAAAAACAGACTGCCAATAGTTTTTAGAAATATTCAAAACTGGGTGTACAATGACAGAAACTCTGTAGTATTTGTCAAAAACCCCCAATAAAGACACTTTACACCTTGGAAAGAATGCAGACAAGGATAAGCATTTTTAAAACTGGGCAAAATTTTATGAGGTCCATGAGTCAAATAAATTTCTAAGCAAAGTTTAAGACCCTTGTCAATAGTCTTGTTTATTTTGTAACCTGAGATGTTCATTGTATGGCACATTAGATGTGTTCTTGGGATAATTTTTAGTTATCTTCTTCAGAACAGCTGTCAGTTTAGTTATTTCAGACAGCATTCTTTTCAGATAACACTCCATAAAATGGTTCCATACAAAACCTAATAGAAAGCTGATACACTCCCTTACCAACACCAACATATCTCCATATGAAGAAAAAGGGGAAGAGTTTTGATCAAAGGTTGTATTTTCTGTTTGTTCTTCCACGCAGGAGTTGGTGATTGAAAGTAAAAAACAAAAAAAAAAGTGCCTGAGGTAAGAGATTACGTCTCCACAGATTAAATACAGTTGATTCACACTTTCGAAAAAACAACAAGTAGAGCCCAAAGATGATTTACAGTATGTCAAGGTAACTTTCAATATTCCACTACTGGTTTACCAGTAAATAAAGCAATACCTGATAGAGTTGATGTTGCAACTCGCAGCATGTGAAACCACAAGTAGGGTCCCCACGTGAGTGTTGTCTGTAGGAACAAGAGTGGTATCAATATGTACAGCTGTATGTTCATGGCACAAAATAACACATGCAAAACAGCTTGAGAGGAAAGATCTGCAGTGTTTCCTGTTTGCCAGCTGCCATAATATTTTTGCTTTAAAATAACTCTAGACCAGATAGATAAAGCAAAGTATCACCATAAAATCTAAATATAACCACGGTTTACCTACAGGAAAAATTTGTTTCACTTGTTTTTGTTTCCCACTCCCAGACTTGGGAAATGACAAGCATCAATCAACTCGATCCCTATAACTAGAAAGAGCTTTCCATAATGTTCTGAATTCCACCATGCCAAGAAGTGAAGTGAGGTAGCCAAGTAGTCCCTCATTACAATTATGAGTGAACTGCAAGAGACTGTTTAAAACCAAACCAAACCTTCAAACCTCTGAGCAAGAGGCTGCTTCCAAACTTTACAACCAGATATGCATTATCCCTTGAAACTGCACCTGAAAAATAACACCAAGAGCCAGGAGGGAGGGAGTGAGTTACCTCAGCTCTGAGGGAGCGATGGACAGGCTGACAAGCAAAGTGCCTGGGGTGATGTGAACAAGGAGGAACACAAAATGAGTAGAACAGGGCTCAAGGGGGGTCACCTCAAGAATTTGCATGTACATGAGGAAGTGTCTCTGCAGTGCCTGAACACTAAGACACACAACATGGGACATAAACATAAGAAATTAGATATCTGTACACAGCTGCAGGGATAGGATCTTGTTGGGATCCCAGAGAAGCAGTGGATGGACTGGAGGGCTGCAGTGGAGGAATGCAGACTCTTTAAGAAGGGCAGACCAGGAAGACAAAGAGGAGGAATTTCCCTTTGCATGACTATGATGTATTCACAGTCACACAGAAAATACTGCAGCCTCCAGACAAACTGATATATTTACACATAGTAACTTAAAGGAAGTTTAGAAATTAAATTTAATCAATTAAAAATAATGGGCATACCCAGGCTATGCTTTTCACTAAAGAAAGAGGCTGTACCTCTTAAAAAAATAAAACAATCCATGTAATAAAAAGGAAAAGGGGAAAAGCAGATTCCAAGCTAACAGGAAAAAACCTGTAGACTTTCAATTTTGTGAAAAGGCAAACTCAAATTTCATAGTGAGCTAAAACATATTTATAGTTAACAGGCAAGCTCTTTGTTATGTATTTATCCCCCAGAAAAGATCTCTGTAGAAGTACTTTTCTTGTGAAAAGTAGCAGTTAAAAGTGTCAGCTTTTATTAAATAAAACACATTAGCTCTACTCAGTTACATAAGTATTTATAACGTTGCTAAGAACTCTTAGATAGTAACTTTTTTCTGTGATCTTATTTAATAGATATCTGTACAGGACAACCAATATAACTGTAAATAACACAGCTACAGAGACTAGTTGGTATAGCCTCAGTACGCAGGTACGCAAGCTACTACACTTCAGTGCTTTCCAAGCACAGTCTCTACAAATCAGTGCAGCAATAAATTGTCTTTCAAGCCAGAAACTCAAGTTGAGCAAGCTGAAAAAAAGCCAGATGCTATATCTTTTTGGCAGTGGGTATGGAAAATGTCCTGCCAAGGTAAAAGTGTAAGCAAAACCAGCTGCTACCCTGCTCGTACAAAAGCACCTCCAGGTTGTTGATTATGTGCTCAGTTGGCAGACAGGCTAACAAGGAGTTTGTTCAGTGGAAGAAGTCAAAAAAAGTGCTGGAAAAGCTTGTTGCCACAGGTGCAAATAATGGCATTGACAGGGCTCTGTACAATCCTTCATGACGAGGTGACAGGATTAAAAAGCATTCACACAGTGTGCAGGACAAACAAGGGCCTGCTGTGCACTGTAAGAAAGAAGCTACAAGAACCCCCTTAACATTTAGGAGTGAAAAGACAGGCTGAACTTCAACGTGACAGAAGTAATTTGGACCCAGAACATTCTAACAAGTTTGTGGAGACACAAACGTAGGAAACATCTGAGGCTCAGCAGACACAGAGGTTCTGTCTATTTCTACTCTTCCCCCACCACAGTTAAAAATCAGTTTGGTAGATTCTAAGCATTTCTAAGTTCAGCTTCATGGGAACCTCTGCTTTCTGACAAAGCCCAACCAGACACTCTTCACCCCTGCCAAGCAAGGCTTTGCCAGTCTCTTCAGTTTAAAAAGGAACATTCTTTCCAGTGTCTCAAAAGACAATAAAAAACCATGAGAGAAGCTACTTCACACAAATTCAAAAGCAGAAAGGCTTGGAGAGTAAACCACCAGGAACAGCCAGGAACAAGGGAGTGCATTCAAGGAATCATCTTCTTTTTCTACCCATCCCCCACTTACTTCCTTAGGATAAATTTGGGTGGCTTCCCAGAGCACCTCGGAGATGGAAACAGAAATGGCAAATGTGAGGCAAGAACTGGTACTGGAGAAACCAGAACCATTTGAGTGACATGAACTGGGCTGTTAAGCAGTGGCTCAGTACAGACTAATCCTAGTCTGTGAAGTAGCTTTAATGCACTGAGCTGAAGACTGGAAAACCATACCCAAGTCAGGTCCTACAGACCTGCAGAACCACATACTCAGATACTGTACGTCAGCCTCATCTGGCCAGCCAGAGAAGCCTTCCTGTTCAGCCTTTAATCAACTCAAGGACACAGTAATACTGTATTTCTTGAATGGAAACAAGGGGCAGCAGTATGATACACAGTACACTGGCTTATTGTAAGGGACAGTATTTCTCCTGCCATCAGTCTCCTAAGTATATGTTTCTACAATGCTTAATTATATTATGCAGCTATATCCTGACTTTATTTTCTTGTTTACAATGTAAAACACAATGGTTATGACAACTGATTTTTAAATTACAAAAAATCTTAATGTACAATTTTAACTTAAATAGGAATTAACATAATGGATTCAACCACTGATAAAACCAAGGGGCCTCTGGTTCAATAACAGAACATGATTTTGTTTCCTAGTATGGGGCTGCTGAAGGGAGCACACATGATCCCTTGAACTTCTGAGCGCACCATGTTCCTAAACAATCCACATCTATATCTATTTTTGGCAGATTCAAGTTCTTAATAACACCTAAACTTTCCAAAGTACATGGTGTTTCTTTTTGTCAGAGAAAATGGTAAAATGAGAAAAATAATAATTTCCTCATTTAAGAAAAAACAAATCCTGTATATAATAGTTAATATACACCACCAAATAGATGCTTTTCCATTGTTTACTGTGCCAAGATAGATTTTAAATTAGTTTAATTATTGACTGGTCATTGCTATAATAGGTCCTCCAGTATATATACCATATAAAACTGTGCCACCTAAGACAAGCCAGTGAAAACAAGATCAGAAACACACACACCATCCTCCATCAAGAGCTACTACCATATCATGAGTAGTTATTACTTATTTTTCTCCTTCATCCCAATTTCTTAGGAAAAAAAGAGAGTTTAATGGTTCTCAAGAGAGGACTTTTTACTATTTAAAGTTAACGGTCTTTTAACTACAGGATATCAAGACAACCTTCCTGCAAGGATGTGTTTCAATCCTTCTAAGCACTGAAAGTTAAAAAAATTAAATCCCTTCTGGAGCTTTGCTGCTCTGTTTCTCAGGATGAATTCTAGGGTTATCACACCAACAGCTATACTGCTTCCAGTTCCTCTGCAAAGACACTCCACCTCCTGCCTTCTCGTGTAATAGGTGAATGCAACAAATTATACCAAGTGTGCCTCCAGGGATAAACAAAAGGATTATCTTCTAGAACAGGTTAGGGAAATTTAATCAATACACAATAAAGTTTTGGTAGACAAAAGCAAAAGGAAATTTACATATAAAGTGCAAAAATCTAAATTTTAGGACAGAATAGAAGACTCAAAACATTTATGCAATAAAAGCTTATCAATTTGAATTTGAAAACATTCAGATAATACTGAATGCTATTATCTAAAAAATAAGAATACCCTGTGTTCTGGTTTCAAAAAACCAAAACACTACAGAATGGACACTCCAGTCAACAGTATTAATGAACTGAGTGCTGACCTACAAAAGTACCAGAAGTTGTTTCAAAGCAAAATTTAAAACCCAGTTCTTTTTGAGAATTTGTTTGGGGTTTTTTTTCTGAGTGGTAGCAGCCCACCACATCAAGTACTTCGGTTATCATATTACTAGGATGTATACATACTACTTTGCTTAGTAAGAAAGACATTGTGCATTGCCTGAGTAGTTCTAAACACAATCAAAGCAAGGTACATATTGAAGACATTTCTTTACAACACAGCAAAATATTTGTTTCCCTTAAACTCATTCATAAGCTGCCAGGAAGCCAATACCAGCTGAGCTGTGAAATTTCATGATGCAAAGTTTCTATTCAAAGTATTAAATGTGCTTTTTCTAAAAATAAACTGGACCAGAAACAGTTATTACTTGCAACATACTTTTTTGTATCCCAACTGAGATAACAAGTTTTAGACATGCTGGTCTCAGCAAACAGACTATTTAATTGCTTTTATAGAAATCCTACATTAAAAACATTTTTAAAGCAGCTGTTGGCTAAAACATCAAAGCTCAGCTTGGACTAACATTTCTTCAATTGTCTGGCTCAGCTGGGATACACGAAGCATGCAGCAGATAAAGTAAACCTCACTTAATGGCAACTCCTGCTCTAATCAAGTTCATTCTGTCAAGGTAAAAAGCAATACATAATAAGGCATACTGTGCTCCACAATAAACTATTCTGGTTTGGGGGGTCCTTTTATTAAAAAGTGTAAGAAAAATTAAGGATTTAATAAACTATAAAAGGAGAATAAAGAAATCTTAACTCTGCCATACAATGTACTTTTTGGCATTCAGAAAAAAAAATCTATATTAGGAAAGTAGGCGAACAATCACACAGCATTCCTGGCTGTTGTGCCCACTCGAGGGCTCTTTAGTTAAGTGTCCATTTGCACAGCAGCATGCACGTCTCTGCCCTCTCAACATGTACACCAAGGTTCGTGAGCCTTCCATCACTGCACCACAGCAGAACTCTTCTACTGTGAGGAAATGGCACAAAAAAATTATACACACCTGGTCCCCTGCTCATTAAAACTGGGGAAAATATCTCTTAGACGTGCATGGATATCTGCCATGACCTGCATAGTGGGGAAGAGATCTCACTCAGAAGATACCTGAATATTACCATCATATTCAGTAAGTTTCACAGTTCTTGAATTTCTTTGAGAAGATCCTTAAGCGGAAAAAAAACCTCAGCATCCAGCAAGGCAGCTTAATATCTTACTCGTTGTTTGTGACTGTAAGACATTTCTTTTCAAACTATAAACTTTACCTATTTTATACTGATGATATCCCACCTGCTCTCAGGCTAGTGTTACTTCCTGTTGTATACAAGAACTTGCCTAGCAAGAACAAGAATGCTGCCATCAATCCATACAAGATGCAATGCAACAGCTTCACCTGCAAATCACTAGAAACCCCAATCCCAGCTAAATTCCCATAGTCTCACTGCAGCTTAGTCCTCAACCCCACTTCTCTATTCCTTCAAGATAAATTCGCTTTACAGAGGGGAAAAGAGGTATTGATTGACAGTCCTCCTCAAAACAAACCTCTTATGGTTCACCACTTCTTCAGAAGAGCATGAGCGGAAAATCAAACTCTTCAGTTCTTTCAACAAAGGCAAGCTCTCCCAGGATGGATGCACATGTAAATAAATACAGGGTCTACTACTGTAGAGTAAATAGAAATCTTCAACCACAACATTTCTTAATTATGGACTGCCTAATGATGGTGCACAAGTCCTTTAAACAGCAATGTCAAGTAGAAAGCACTGCACTGGTTTCTGTGTGTGCAAGGACTCTTCTTTCAAGTGTGGGAACAAGCAGCTCAACACCAGCATCTGCCTCCAGTGTGCAACCAGGCAGGACTAGCTGCTGCACAAAGCCATGACTCTTGGATGCCTGACCACACTCCAGCACAGCAGGAAGGACCCAATTTTAGAGTCTCCAGCTCAATACAGATATCCAAGCCCAGAGAGGGCCAGGAAGGGAGCCTTGTCAGCAGGAAGGGAATAGGACTGCAGACCCAATTTATTGGGGTAAGAATTGTTTTAGGAGGGTAAAGAGGCAGTTGGAACACCAGTTTCTGGGATTGCCATGAAAGAAACATGAGACTGGGCATGTGGAGAGATGATGAGAAGGATGTGGATTTTCTCTGGGACTGACTGCCAGAGGTGGGGAGCTGCTGCTGCCAGTGTTGGCACATACAGGTGTGAGCTTTGCAATCACACTATCACCAAAAAATAGTTCATCAGACAGGCCAACAGAATAAAACTGACTATATGTTTCATTTTACTTCTAAGTATAGAACCACAATCATAGAGAAAAAAGGAAAATGTATTTTAGCAGCTACAATACACACTATGGCAACAGCTTTAATTGTTGAGACTCCACTTGAATCTGGACCAACAAAGAAAACTCCATTCATAAGTCAAGCAACATCTCAACATCTTACAACACAGATGAACATTACATACATGGACTAGGCAGGTCCTTTAAAACCTGTTTTTTATATATCATGAATTACACCAGTTTTCCTTTATTTCTGCAAGTCATCTGTTTCTTTCCCATCTATGCTCTTTTAATTATATCAAATTGCTGGTATGGTAACTCTAAATTACAGGTTCAACTCTCCACTGTTAACAAACACAAGGAAACAAATGTCTCCCCTGCACACTTTTTTTAAAAAAAACAAATCAAGGAGATACCAAGCAAATATTATTAGAGAGGGAAATGCTGGAAAGGACAAACAGGAATGGTGAAGAAATTAAACCCAATTCTAATTAATAGGGCTATTTTAGTGGAGGAGAACTCTAAGACAAAACTTCCCAAGAATACTTCTCACAGATTTCCAAGTTCCTAAAGCCAAACAAATCAATGGAATCTTTAATACTGAATACTAAATCAGATTTGTGACACAAAAAATGAAGTATAAAATGTTGATAGTTACCCGGTAAACCAGAAGTAGCAATATATCAAGCAAAATACCTACAGGATCTACAGGTGGCAACAGGTCTTTTTTCTCTTGTTCATCTTCCTCTTCATCTGTGCTATATTCTTCCATTGTTTCTCCACTGGCAAAATGAATAACCCTCCTTGGAATTTTCTTCTTCTTTCCTATGACACCCAGCTCCACATTCTCAAAGCCACCATCTCCCTTTGCAAGTTGCTATAAAGAAAAAACATCATTATCTCAAGAAGATGTTTTTAGAACTGGAAATTTTCCCCTTAAAAAACTTGATATATAAAATATTTTAGATTAATTAGCAAATGCAGTGGACATTTGAAAGAGTTTGGCTGTAGGTAAAAGCTAAGACTGACACAATTTGTTTGCAGATATGTAAAAACTGATCTCTTCTCTAACAGTAACCAAAAGGTAAGTGTCTTTACTTAATCATGAAAGCTGGTATTAAAAACATCTGTTCTGAAAGAGCACTGCATTATATATAGGAGTTTCTGGGGGAGGGAGTGTTTCTTTAAATAATTTGATAAGCACATAAGTTTTAACACTGAAAAGTATTGTTGGTTTTGGAATTATTATCTAATGAAATTAATAAAATAGTTCATAGGCTGTAGCCACCTTTGTGAGCTCAGGCTGACACCTCTAGCACAAAAGAGAACTGAATAACTAAGCAGCCAGGCTCAAGCTTTAAAAAGATGCACCAAGGAATCTACCCCTGTGGGCTTTCATCATCAACCACAGTTAGTACAAGGGACCATGCTAAAAGGACAACGCTCAGTTCTGTGGCTAAGGACGTATAAAATGAGAAGTACAAGGTCTGGTTTTGTTCTTCCAGTTGCTGAATACTACAAAGCAGTCTTTGGGTCACAAGCATTAAAATATATATACTTCGAGTTCAAAGACCAGTCAAGAACTCTTTAAGCTAGTAAATCCTACAGGAAGAGAATTTTAGTAGTTAGTATTTAGTAGGTTTTGTATTGTAGCTATCAAAACAGAGCCTTTGTCTTGGTAGAGTTCCTAGATATTACTGTATCAAATGCACAAAACTGTTCTGAAATCTGTCTTTAATGTACCATGAAGGTTTTTAAAAATGCATGAGCTCATGTAATTTGAAACCATATCATAAGGAATGACATGTGTAAGTGCACACAGAATCCAGGTTACATAAAATGGATATATTCCTAATTCTGACTTCTTCCCTATGCAAAACTTCATGATCTACACAAAGCACAATTCAAAATTATAAATAAAAATACATATTTTATCACATAGCAGTGAGATATCCCTTAATTGCTGCAAGCGCAGCATCACCATTCCCATCTCTCATGCTAGACTACATAAACCAGCTTTGCAATGCAAACAGGCTTGGTTAGCTGGGAAAGACAGTGGGTACAGGAGAGAGAGGCAGGAGGGGACCAGGGCGAGCCAAATGGCTTCCTTCATTCCAAGCACAGATTTTTCTCATGCCCATAGAGAAGAGGGAGGGAAAGATCACGTGCAGAGCTCTATAGTGTGGAGAGGATCCGCACCAATTCATCATCTCTCCAAGCCCTGGTACCGTGGCTCCTCAAAACTGCAAGTCATCTCAGCTTCCCCCAGCATTTCTTTAGCTACAGTGGCACATTTCAGGCATTTTCCTGGAGGAGCAGAGCAGAATTCAGCAGCAAGTTTTCAGTGGGGTAATTCAGCTGAAACAGGATGGTATTTTCATGCAGATTCAGATTTTCAATTAGAAAGACAAAACTATCTGGAGCTCAGTGCACTCTGCTGTCCATCAGTCTTAGGAACAGAGAAAAGCTACAAAAACACGAATGCTGAAAACAGTGAAGCAACCTAAGCATAAGGAGCACTCTGTGCTGCCACTACAAAAGTGGGTACCACTCACTGTGACTCAGTTCGGTATTTTTTGGTGCAAAAAGCACCACAGAACCATCTTTTTATGAACATTCTGTGCTCCTTTATTGGCATCCTACAATGACGCCGTTTTTCATGTTTAGTCACAGTACTGAAGAGCACTATTTCTTGCTAACACAACATCATAAATACCATGGTGATTAATAACAGCAAGCAACATGAGCCCCTCCTCAGAGCTCTTCTAAAGGCACAGTCTCTTCATCTGATTTTGGCTTGTTTAATGCAAATGCTTCAAAATATTTTAACTTAGAAAAAAATGTTGGTTCACGTTTCAAGTTTAAAAAGCAGCCCTTAATTCCCTGCACACCCATCCCACACTTCACTTACACTACCTACAATAAGCAGCTCTGCGTAGCTGGTATTGCTACATTTCAGACAAATGCAGTAGTTAAAGACAGTAAGGATACATCAAGGAACAATGAATCTGGTTCCAAGTCGTAAATTATTAAATAAAATAATATATATCAGCCGTTGCTTTGCTTATTACCTAGTCAACAAACATGTGTGGGATTTAGTTATCACTGCAGCATTTGTCCTTTTCATTTTTTACCTGCACAATGTCAAAAAAACCAATTCTCCCAACTACAAGCAGAAAGTTCAGCATCAGTGAATTTATTTACCTTTCCAAACCTGTGGCAACGCAGATCTATTCTACAGCTGTCAGCTAGACTCTCTTTATTGCTCAAATGTTACAGTATTTCCTGTTTGAGAATTTATACTTTTGATCTTCCTTCACAAATTTGATCTTCTTTTCCAATTCAGGAAGTTTTTACAAAGATTATTCTTTCATAGTGCATAGCTTTAGTCAAGTTTGTGACCCCATTCTTTTTTCCAGAGGCCCATCCTTCTCTAATACATTATACGGTCTTGAGAGACTCAGCATTTGTCTTAACCCCACATCAAAGAAGTATCTACTTTGGCTTCTATTCCAGCAGCTGTTTGACATGAAGGCCGGTCACTCTTGTGCTCTCACACTAGCTGACGCTCTTAAGGTCCTTGGTAAACATTATAAAGCAACTTCCTCTTTCTTTCAAATGTCCTCTTGGAATTCTTCTTGGCTTTACAGCACATATAAAAACCTTGCCTGTCAGGACGTCAGCATCTGAAACTGCTGTTCCTTGTTTACCCTCTTTACCTCACCCCTTAGCCAGAAAGAGAGAGAGAGCAGGGCATCTTTTCACAGTGTAGGTACAATAACCAGCACAACAGAATTTCAGTCTACATCTAAAATGTCAAAATAAATAAACTACAATTAAGGATATGGTACACCTGGACACCTGCAGGTAAGCTAGAAGAGCTGACACAACTAATATTAGGTGATGCAATAATATAAAGTTTCACAAAGGAGAGGAAGAAGAAAAGCAAAAACCAATAGCGAGATCAGACCATTCCTTTTTTCATCTTTTAACCTTGAAGGAATCCTTGAGAGAGCTTATGAGCGAAAATGCCAAAGTGTGTGATGTCCACTCATGCTCAGAAAGATGAGTAATTCAATTTGCACAGATCTACTGGCCTGATACTGCTAATCACTAGAAGGCTGGTACTGGTTAATGAAATGTATTTCTAACATGCTATCTTGGCTACTCTACTGATTTGTGTTAATTATTCTGGCTAGAGTTTTAGGGGGAGTTTGTTTAGGTTTGGGAGAGGGTTTTTTTTCATACTGCTTGCCTGACTTTCCACCCTTGTGTTTCAAATTAAAACAGCATGAGTCTTTCTCAAACAGAAGACAACAAAATTACAGAGTCAGACGACGACTGTAAGAAAAGACACCCTCAGAATAAACAAGCCTTGGAAAAGCACCATAACCAGTGAAGCGGCAGCGCCCCTAAGTCCCAGGGCGAAGCCGCGGCCGGTGCAGGGGCAGGCGCGGCAGGACAGGCGAGCTCGGGGCTGAGGTGTAATTAACAGCCGCCGTCCCTCACCATCGCCCACGCCTTCGCCAACTTCACAGCGGAGCGAAGTGGAAACCTGTCTCGCTTTAATATTTAATATTCATCAGGCTCGTTTGTCAGAGGCATTGTCCCCGGAGAACAGGAGACACCGGAGACACGCGTGCCCGCCGCGCTGGCTGTAATTACAGGGCGCTGGATGGGAGCACAGACCGGCCGACACGCCGACCTCTCCTGCCGCGGACAGGCCCCCGTGCCCCGGCCATGAACAGGGGGCTTTCCCCGCCCCGCACACCCGCGGGGTCAGGCCGCAGCCGCCACCCACCCCCGGCCGGACCCACCGCGGCCTCGCCCCGCTGCAGAAGCGGCAGCGCCCGGGCCCCGCTGCTCGCCCGGAGGGGCCGGGCCCCGCCACCCCGCTCACCTGCTCGGGCTCCATGGCGCCGGAGGCGGGCGCGGGGCCGGCGGCGGGCGCGCAGTAGAGGGTGATGGCGGACAGCCCTTGCTCCATCCTCCCGCCCGCCGCGGCGCCGGGGGAGGGCGGCAGCGGGCCCGCCGCGGCCCGGGTAGGCGAGAGCGACCGGGCGGCGCCGCCCGTCACACCGCCCGTCACACCGCCCGCCGGGGCGGCGCTTGGGGCCGCCGCCCGCGACCCGCTGGGGGAGGCACGGGAGCCGGGATCCACCTGGGCGAGACTGAGGGCACCCTGGCCTTTCTCTTCTCGGGAGGGAAGCAGGGCAGAGGCCGGAGGCAGCTGGGCTGCCAGGCACAGCCGTACCTCCACCCAGGAGGAAGCATACCTGCTCTGAGGGAAAACCCTAGGTTTTTCCCACAGTATTGTAAAAACGTGCAAAATAACAGAAGAATAGTTTCAGAAGCACATGAAGTTCCTTGACAGGATTTAGGGATCCTCCCAGGGCCACCCTTACTCAGCCCTCCAGTGTTGGCTCAGGCAACTCAGCACTTTGTAAAGGACTGACCCCTGACCAAGAAAGAAATGCAAACCAAGGGCGCACTGGCCCCTGAGTTTCGTTTAGGTGGGAAAATAACACGGAGTCCCATAAGGCAGTGAAAAGTGTTTGCCACGTAGTAATTGCTCAGCTGCTGCAGCAGAGTTAGGAGCCCTCCAGCCTGTGCCGGGGGCTCTGGCCTGCAGGTGCTGGCCCAGCCCCAAGAGAGAAGCAGAGGTGACCCTGACAAAAGGTGCGTTAGCCAATGCCAACTACTAGTGAAAACAGCGGGAGATGGAAGCATTGGAAGCATCCTTTTCATGAGACTAACGAGGGAGCAGTTTTAATTAATTTTTTTTTTTAAAGTTGGAACCCATGGCTGTAAAATCCACTTACATGGTAAAAGCCATCCTTCACTCCTGCATCATTAAGAATAGCTTCCAAAAAATTAATATATGGCACAGTCTTAGGCACTTTCTTAGTAATTTTAAAGCCTTATCCACATTCTGTAACAAATTAAAAAGCCCAGGTAAAGCACAGATGTATCCCACAATTATACTAGCATAAGGCAGAAAATGTTCCCTTGTGAAAAGGGCTAACATACAGAATGTATTGTATTGAATGTATGATTACAGAAACACATCAGTTAAAGGCTAGACTATTATTTTAGACACTACTGGGCTGAACATCTGCTTTAGGTATTAAAAATCTGTAATACTCAAAGCTGCAAAGAAACAAATTAATGTTAGGATACATAAATATCTCTTATCCACAATATAGTCTACATTCTATTTAGTAAGGACTGGTTGAAATACGGTGCACAGCTCCTAAAGAACACCTTTAAGTCATCAACCAACTAACTTGCTTTCCTTTGCCTCTACTGTGATTATAGCAGCTGTACAGTAGTACTAACCTTAATCTTTAACCTCCCAGAACAATTGGCATTTGCAACTTAGACAATTTTAATAAACTTAGCATCTCACAATATTGAAAATCCTATGGAAAAGACTGTTCACAAATAAACCTATAGCTATTTGTGTGTGCTAATAGTTAATTGTCCAGCTCCAATCACACAGCTATCTATTGACCATCATAACGGTTTCCTCTTAGTAGGCTGCTCAGCAGCAGACTGAGCTCAAACAGCTCAGACAAAAGCTTGTCTGACAGCAGGAACAGCTTTCAGCAAGATACACACAGGAGACAGACCTCAGTCATCTAAGTATTTCCAGCAAATTTTGCTTGCCTCCAGCTCTTCACGGATTCTTGTATGCCAGGGAAAACTTTTCTGCAGACTTTTCTGAGATCCTGTGGAAGATGAGTACAAAAACTCTAATGGAAGAAAATGGTGCTGGAGGAGTTATTACACACTTGCCCACAGTGTTTTATTTGCATCAAGCTCTGAGAGGCCATGTAAGTCACCCATTCAGAATAGCAAATTGAGAGAACATATAGAACATTCTGTTCTCCTGCTATAAGCATTTTCTTCTATGCATTGTGCTCTGCAGGATCCATAAACATAAAAATTATATCTGTCTCTAAAGTTGTTCTCTTACAAATCTAGAAGAGAATTTTTTAAGTGTTCCTATACAGTTGAACTCTTCCTCTTGGTGCCTCCAATACACATGAATTTTTTTTTTTCAGACTTGAGATCCTCAGGGCAACTTTTCTGAACAGGGTCCAAAGTGTTTTCTACCTGGCTTGCTAAGGTAAGAAAATTCAATATACACTTTGTTCTTATACTTTCAAGGAAATGCATTCTGAACTTGCCCTTGCCTCTGCCAACACTCAGGCAGTGACAACTCTCTTCTTCTGGTAGCAGAGTTAGTTTGGAAATGGTGAACTAAAAGCTAAAACTAAATGTATGCAACAAATTGAAAATAGAGGGTTAATTGTTGGTAACTTGACAGTCTGACTGAGCCTGTCCTGAAGCACAGTGCTTTAGTGTTCATCCTCAATATGCCTATTCATGTTTGATTTCCATCAAAAGCATTTAACTATCCACTCTCCCCACCAACTGCATTCCAAACCAAGATTTGGTACTCTTTTCTGCTTCATTTTGTACAGTTCATTGGTTTGTACTGTTCAAGAACTACTAAAAAAAAAATCAGGTTTTAGTACACACCAGCTCCCCTAAAAGCTAGTGATATGGAAGGACTCATTTGTTATATTTAAAATACTAAGATCCAACTTAACCGATCCTTTTACAGACTAATGCTATGCATAAAATGCAGCGTATTAGGTAAATGGCATACCTGAAGATTTTTCAGCATCCTCCACACAATGAACACCAGTACCACTAATCAAGTAGAAGACAGTTTCACATTATAAACTAAGTTACAGCATACCTTATATTACCACAAGAGCATAATTTCCTAGATAAAATATTCAGTTAGTTGCCACCTTCTCAAAGAATTGGCTGACAGAGGGACTCACTTGTTTTAATTACTACATTTAGCTTTTATCTTATCTAAGCAACAGCATTGGGTGTCCATTTACAAACCAAGCACTCTGCAGTATCTTGAGGTTCATGATGCACCCTCTTGCTTTAGGGGAAAGGATATTTGCCAAAATTTCAAGTTTTATTTGGTCTACGCAGTTTCTGAAGTGTGCTTGTAGATTCTACTCTTTTAAGACCGACACAGTAAACTGAAATATTAAAGAAATACTATAGGAAATTAAGATCAGATCATGGCTGAGCTGTATCTAAACAGACCATATTGCTCCAACTCTCTCTGTTTTAAAGTTCAGTACCAGCAGAGAATTACACCTAGGATGTATCAGGAATTATCTCATTAACAAGAGAACTGCCTAATTAGCAGCACGATATGAAGATTTTCTCCAGTATGAGACAGTTGCATACCTGTATTTTTTCAGTCACTTTGTTCCTTGTGTATAGGGAAAGAATGATAAAATTCTTGTACAAACGTGAGCACAGCACATCCACCTTCAAAAATGGTCCACACCTGAGCACCAACAGCAGATTTTCAGATACTAAACTATTCTTACAGCATCTATGCCACACATGAGTTACAATAGTCTTTAGAAACAAGTCAAACTAAGGAAATCATCTCATTACATACTGATAAAGGACAGTGAGAAACAACTGAAGAAACGGGCCATTCCCTTGTTTATAACCACTTACATTTTATTTTACAGTATATTTGTGACATTTTATGTTACTATAACCAAAGATCAGGGTTGTTTACAAATATAATGGCTGCCATTTGATGTAAACAATTAAAAAGTGTCTCTGAATATTAAAATTTTACATCATGATCTTGTTTCATTAAATTGAATTACTCTTTGTGCCATCAGTTATTAGTGGAGAAGAACTAATTTAAGCAAAAATAGTTTTCAGAAATTAGATATAGAAACTGAGAAGCCTGGATAAGATTTCAAAAGACCACTCCCTCATCACTGTAAAAAGGAAGAAAGCAAATTCTTTCACTGAAGTTGCAATGACGAGTCAACCAAGTCCATTTGTATTAAGGCTTCTTTACATATTATTGAATCCCATCATGCCTTTCATATTGCCAGCAGCACCTTGTTGAAATTGTCTCATCATTGACTGCAAACCTGCCATGCCACCTGCAGAAAGTGAGAACATAATGTGTTAACTCTGAAGCCCAGCTCTCCTGCTCGAGGCCTCATTAACATACACACACTATTTCAGCCATATACAAATACAGAAGCCCAAGACTGTCTAACTAGGCTTAAACTGCTATTAAAAGTAAAAAACTGACTGACTTAATTACAGAAGGGCCTGCAAAACACCAGGCTTAAAGTAGGTTTTAAGATGACCTGTGCATTAAGAACTAAAGAAGAACCCTTGAAGGAATAACCAGAATTGATTAGTAAGGTTCAGGTATGGGAGTCTTTAAATAAAGCTGTTCTTATCAAATTTAATTACTTGAAGCAAAGTTTAGAAGGGAAGGGAAGTTTAGGCAGATTTGCTTTACCACAGTCATACCTCAACTCATCACTATTCCCAGACACTATTCCAATTGCTCATTTTGAGAGTTGAATCCAAACAAAGAGACTAGATTAAGCACTGGTAAGTGCAAAGCATTTGGACTAAACGTTCTGATTATTGTTAGAAAGTTTTAGAAATACTTAATACTGATATATAATGCAGATATTCTCATATGACATTCCTCAATTCTCTATTTCAAATGCTCTGCCATAACTGTCCTCTCTTGAAGCTATAAAAAGTCAGCACATACCCATATGATGAAGAACTCTTGGATCCATCATCTTTGCCATCTGTTGGTTCAGTTTGGCCAGCTGAGATGGGTTTACATTCTTTGACATATCACCACCTAAAAAAAAAAGAGATTAGCATATTGGGCTAGAAATAAATCTAAATGTTACATTATTCTAGATTCAAACCCATGAGTCCATTATCAGAAGTTACTACATCAGCCACTTAAAGGTACTTTAAAGATCAACAGTCCCTGCACCCCACATAACAGTGTTAGTACTGTGGTAGTAATCAAGTCTACATTGATAGAAATACAGTGTCTTTCCCTGCTAAGTTACACATTAGTGGCATGAAAAACAGTGCAGGCCTTACCAGTTACATAAAAAAGTTTTCAAACATCATGAAAACCAGTGAGCTGCAACTCACTTTCTCCTCTCCCT